AGGTGGTGGGGGTCCCAGTACTAGGCCCTGGCTGGGACATCTCCCTGTCCATCTGACCCAGCTTCCGTCACCACAGGAGGGCTTCAATCCATTTCCAGTCAGCGTCCAGGGCAGGTAGACCCAAGCTTCGTCCAAACATCCTCTTCCGTGTCTGGAGTCCGGAGGAGCTAAAAATGCTCCTGCTTGGCCCCAGGAAAACAAGCCCCGCCCTTCCATGGCTTTGTGTACAAGATACAAGGCCTTGGCCTCGTAGGCAGGTGGTGGGCTCACAGGCTGACCAGGCCCCAGTCGGTCTGTCTGCCTGCCTTCCTCTCTGGTTCTCACAGCTGTCTGCAGTGGCCAAAGCCTTATCCGAGTGAGGTCGGGGACTGCGTGAAAGGACACTCCTAACCCCCACTGAAGTGCCTGGGGCCTGTCCCGGCTGGGGACCCTCTGTTATGCCTGGCTGGGAGTTCAGATGAGAGAGACAGCTGAGAGTCATCATGATGGTCAGGCCAGTAGCTAGCATTGTAGACCACCCACTCTGTGCCAGGCTCGACTAGCAGCACTCCTCCAACCCCGTGAGGGAGCGGTTATTTACTGTTGCCCCCATTTGACATATGAGGAAACTGAGGCTCAGGAAGGTTAAAGCCACTTGCTCAAGGTCACAGAGCTGATAAAGTCTAGAGCAGGGCTTAGAAACCATACTATCTCTGAATGGGCATAGAAGACAGTAATCCCTCCCTCCCTGGGTGATCATTTGGGTGAAAGACAAGAGAGCACCTTACAGGTAGCCAAAGGCCTTGTACAGCGGGAGCAGGGGACAGTGAGGCGTCTGGGAGGAGGCCCATCAAGGCCACTTGGTTGGGAGGAGAGGATGGGTTTTTCCATCAGAAAGTATGGGGCTAGGGTTTCAGGCCATTTGTGGTATGGCCTTGGACTGTCATCAGTTGGGAGCCCCAATTCTTCCTTCTCCACTGGGGGGATGTCCTGGGAGTGCGGCCTGTGTTCTCCAGGTAGGCACAGGTATGTGGACAGTGTTGGTCCCACCCTGCTAGACTTGCAGTGTAGCTAACCCTTGGGATGGAGCCTGACTCCTTCCTTAGCATTTCCTCACCCAACCAGGACCCCGGCCCCCATTCCCGAGCATGAGACTTTTAATGGATGGGGCTTGGGTTGTACTAAGCGCTCAGTCCAAGAAGCCCCCAGCACTGGGCAGGCCCCACCTGAGCACTTAACCCAGGGATATGACCACTTGTCTCTTCTCCATAGCCCAGACCTGACAAGGGGGCGGAAAATTATGGGGTATGAGCACCCCACATATCTGGTCCCAGTGTAGAAGATGGGCGCAGGCCCTTCTAGCCCTGACATGCCAAGATTGTCCATCTTCAGGTTGTAGGGTGGCCCTCAGACCCCTCTGTGGCTCTCCCCACCCCAAGCAGGGTCTGGCATCTGCCACGATGGGTCAGGACTCACAGGGAGAAGAGGTAGGGTGTTTCCACATCGATTCATTCCTTCAGTTTACAGCTTCTGAGCAACTACTGTATGCTCGAGCAGTTTAGTGCTGGAGATGGATGTTTAAATGGACAAACAACATGACAAACCCAGAATGAGCACTGACTTCAGCCTGGGGGCAGCTTCCTGGAGGTGGGGTGGTGCTGGGTGGGCTGTGTGGGCAGAAGACAAAGGTGGAGGTATTTAGAGGGACAGACCCACAGGACATCTGCAAGGAGTAGATGCAGGATGGGGGTCCCCTAAGCATGATATTCAGGGTCTTGGAGCCATGTGGCAGAAGTCTTGAATAGCCCTGCCATTTCTAATCCTTGTACAAAGACATGTGGAGTATAATGACCTGTGTCTATCTCATCTAGAAGGCTGGGCGATCACTGAGCAACAGAATTCCTCATCCCATTCCCCAATGCTTCCCACAGATGTGCACACAGCAGGTGCTCAATAATGCTGCTCTAAGTAGCCACCCCTGTCTCCCCCCGCCGGTCCTAAGCAAGTCCATTGCTAGAGGCTGAACCCTTTGCACCCATGGTAGAGCCCATATTGGCCCTGCACTTTTCAGTTGCCAAAGCCCATTTACACATATGAATGCACTTGCTGCTTGTACACGCCCTTTGCACAAAGTGTCACTGTCGTCATCACCATCATCAGCAGCAGCACGGCATGGTCCTTTTCGTGTGTGGGCTCTGCAGCTGGACTGCCTGAGCTCAAGTCCTGGTTCCATCACTTAGTAGCTGTATGACCTTGAGCAAGTAGCTTTGCCCCTCTCTGTGCTTCAAGAGTAGAGCAACATAGAATAGGAAGAGCAATCAAGAACAATAGCAACTATTATCATCCTGGAGAGCATGCGGCTCCATAAGATAAGCACCACTAGATTGAGAATCACAAGGTTGGCAGTTCTAGCACACCCATCACTCTGCAGGAGAAAGGTGAGGCTTTCTGGTCTCACAAAGATTTAGTGTTGGAAACCCTATACAGAGTCTCTATGAGTTGGATCCAACTGGAAGGCACTTAACAATGACATTATCAACCTATTTGTACATAAGGACACAGATCAAGGAAGGGTAAAGTCAAGACCAAGGTCACCCAGGAGCAGGGCTTTCTCTCTTGAGTCTTTAGACTTCAGATCTGGTATTTGGGGAGTATTGTTCCACATTACTCTGTACCCCTGTCGTTCCCTTTTGTGCCGGACTCCTAACTTGTCTGTTAATACATCTATTTGTCTCTCTGGGTGGAGGACTTTTCCAGGGCACGGGGGCCAGAGTTCTTCATCTACACTCCTATTAGCACTCTGACTGGTTCCGAGCTGTCCCCCAGTGTCTGGCCACTAGTCAGCACTGGATGCTCAATTGCAGGAAGGATGACCTGCAGGCATTAATTCACTGAAGCTTCTAGATCCCTCCATGGGTACAGATTCTTTCCGGTACAATCACGCACACATAGTATCAGCCTGGACATGTGGATACTATAATGAAGCTGTCAAACATCACCCCAAAGGTTTCCCTGTGCCACGCTGAAATCTCTCCCTTCTACAATGTATAGATTCATTCCCAATTTATAGATTTATAGAGGGAACATGGAGACACGCAGTAACCTTCCAGACACCCAGCTAGCAAGTGGCCAGGATTCGAGCCTAGGTACCTAACGCCCAGCTCACCTCCCAGCCACTGTGTCCAGTTGCCTAGGTAGCAATGGGGACCACTGCATTTTATGAAGACAGCCAGTATTATTGGCTGTGTCTGAGGGCCTGTGGCCTGAGCCGACACCCCCAAAGGGATGCATTTGGGTACAAAGGGCAGAGACAGTGCAAGGCGATGAGGCACAGGTGTTCTAAAGCCAGATAGCCTGGTGGTATATTGAGCCTGTGGGTCCTGCGTTGGATGCTGGGTGCAGTGGGCGTGGGCGTGACTCCGCGACTGTAACAATGTGATTGCTGAAGGCAGGGACATAGCAGCTCCAGAGGTGGGGGGGCGGGAGGCGTGAACTGTGCCAGGGAGGATGTGGGGTGGGCCTGAAACTGGGGGATGAGGAAGGTAGTAAACATCAGGGTGACTGGGGGAATCGTGATGTCGCCTGAGAGGATGCTGCAGGGATGTGGGGGGTTGTGTGACTTTGCAGTTCAACAAATTCAAATTCAGTGAATGCTGGCAGTGCCTGTCGCGCATGCCAGGCAACCAGCTAGGAGGAGGAGACTGGACCCAGACTGCTGCTTAATGGTAGCGGCTGCAGGGCTTGCTGGGTTCACCTTGGGGCTGGTGAATGGTTTGCAGGGTGGTTTGTGTCGGAATGGCATTAAATCCTCACTTTGTTGTTGTTAGGTGCCATCCAGTCGGTACCGCCTCATAGAGGCTGAATAAAGGCCAGAAGAAGGGAAGTGACTTGCCCAAGGTGACCCAGCAGAATGTGAACCCAAACTGTCATGAGACCCAGCATCTTTCCACCAGGCCAGCCTCCAGGCGTGGGGTACAAATGTCTGGTCCTAGAGATATGTGGCGGGCTGGAGTGCTTAGACCCTACTCCCCCCACCCTCACCCCTGGACACATCCCACCAACCACGTGGTCTCCAACCTAGTCCACCGTTACTGCGCTGAGTGGTGAGGTGCTTGGCTGTTGCTAGTTCTCCCTTTCCGGTGGGCAGATCCTTGGACTGAGGGGCTACCCGGGCTCTAGGAGACCCTTAGGACCCCGCCACGCCCCAGGCCCTCCTGGCGCTACGCTCCCTTGCTCTCCCTCCCAGCGGCGGCGCTGACTCCAGGCCAGAAGAGAAGGCTGTCTCCACCCACCTCTCGCACTCTCCGTCTCCTTTATAAAGGCCGGAACAGCTGAAAGGGTGGCAACTTCTTCTCCTGCCGCCGGGAGCGGCCGCCTGCTTCCCTGCGCGCCCCGCAGAGCAGACCGCAACCTCCCCCGCCGCTTCCCCGAGGGCTCTCCTCCAGTCGCCAGCGCCCATCTTTCATTCCCGAGATACAGATATTTTGCGCACACACAGATACACACGCGCAAAAGGGAAGGGAAAAGAGCCCACCCTCCAGCCTCGTTGCAAAGAGAAAGCCGGAGCAGCCGCAGCTTGCAGCCCGCAGAGGACAGCCAAAGCCGTAGGAGGACTGACCGACGGATTCCCACCGCGTCCACCTGTCGGCCAGGCCCGGCCGAGCGCGCACGCCTTGCGCGGAGCAGCAGTGCCGGCCACCACCGGGGGCCCTGCGCCAGAGCGCACACGCTCCGGCCGCCCCACCAGGCTGGGGCGGGAATTTGCACCTCTCCCAGTCTGGGTGCTTGGGCCGCCGCTGCAAAGACAACTTTGGAAAAAGTTTTTTGGAGGAAGCCTGGGCTTAGAGGTGCCCAGCCTTGTCCTTTCTGATTTGGAGGACCATTCCAGAAAATGTTGCAAAAAAGCTAAGCCGGCGGGCAGAGGAAAACGCCTTAAGCCAGTGAGTGAAGACGAACCCAAAGGCTGCCGTGTTCCTTTTCCTCTTGGAGGTTGGAGTCCCCTGGGCGCCCCCACACGGCTAGACGCCTTGGCTGGTTCGCGACGCAGCCCCCTGGCCGTGGATGCTCGCTCGGGCTCGAGATCCGCACAGGTAGCGGCCGCGGACCCTGGTCCCTCGCCCAGGCCCTCCATAGTCCCCCAACGACGGAGTCCGGGCCGGGGGCGGCGGCGCCCGGGGGCCATGCGGGTAAGCCGCGGCGGCGGCTGCAGCGGCCTGAGCTCCTGATCGCCGAGGACCCCAGCGGATCTCACCCACCTCCCCAGCCCCCGCCCCCCGCCCTGGCCGCGGGGGCGGCGCGCTTGGTCCACGAGTCCCGGGCCCCGCAGGGCCCGGCCCGGAGTCGGCATGAATCGCTGCTGGGCGCTCTTTCTGTCTCTCTGCTGCTACCTGCGTCTGGTCAGCGCCGAGGTGAGTTGCGATCGTGGCTGAGGCCAGGTCGCTTCATTCATTAGCCCACCCCCACCCTGACGCCCCCTACTTTCCCGGCTATGAACTTTGGATCCTTGCAGCCCACGGGCTAGGTGCCGGGCACTGGGTGACCTCCGAGGACTGGGAGGCGAGGCCCGGGGAGTTCCAGGCTCTCAGAGGAGAAGGCAGCGGTGGTTTTCTTTCCCAGAGGCGATTCCAAATCCACCAGCCTTTCAGTATCTGAGAAGGTTGTGTGTGACTCCCACCCCTCTGGATTCTGAGAAACCCCCACCCGGCCGAGGGGAATGGGAGTGGGGTGGTACCAAGGGTGCAGAACACAGCGTGTGTCCCCCCACCCCCACCCCACTTTGGCTCCTGCTTGGGTTTTTGGGTTATCTAGGACCCGCCTTAACCAGGAGGTGTGAGCTCCCTACCACGCTGACCTTCAGCGGGGGTTCGGGTTATACCCCAGTTCCCGCTCCCGGTTAGGGTGGACGCCCTTGATCCAGCAGTAGCTCATGTCCGGGGGGCGCAGGGAGTTGAGAGGAGATAGAGGACACGGTTTTGGGCACTTGGGAGATTAGAGAAGAAGGATGGGGCTCTAGAGACATGCAGCCCCAGGGGCAGTATGTGCCTGAGGCCTGCCATACCTGGGGAAACACCTCTCTCCCCCGCAGTAGGGTGCGGAGCGCGCCGCGGGCAAAAGCCTAGATGCAGAGGAGGTGGGGGATAAAAACGTCTGTGAGAGCGATCAGGTCGGCTCCTTCTTCCCACCCCTCCCAGCCTCACGTAGCAGTGAGTTGGCAAGTCTATCCTGAATCCAGGTGGGAAAGGGGGCGGGGCAGGGAGGAGACGCGGGGTGGAAGGAGGCGAGGGCTGCGGGATCGAGGCATGCGGGGGTCCAGTCCCGCCTCCACAAGGTCGGGGGTGGAGGGGGGCGGGGGGGAGCAGAGCCCGCCTCTTGCCACCCTTGGGGAGGCCTCCCCCAAGCCTACTGCGAAGCGCAGGAAGGAGGCGGTGGCATCGGCAGTAAAGGAGTTAAAGCGGCGGGCTCTGAGGCTGTGGCCGGACTTGGGCCGCCGCCAGCGCAGGTTGTTTTGACCACGGAGGAGCCGTCGCCGTCTCCTTTTGTTCTCCGGGCTCCTCGAGAGCTGCCGACCGCCCGCCCCGGGGCCCCGCCCTTCCGTGGCCGCCCCCCATGGCCCGCACCCGGGAGGAGGGCGCAGGTTCGGCCGGTCGACAGGCCTCGCTTGACGCCCCCTCCCCTGCAACCCCCCGAGTAGCGGCCAGCTGTTGAGGAGGGGGCCCCCCGGCCAGTCCCAGCTGCCGCTTCGCCTTGCCACGGGCTTGGGTGCTGGGCCCTGTACCAGGGCGTCCTGGGAAAGGCTGCACCAAGCCGCTGCTCTCCGCAGCCCACCCCGCCCGGCCCCCCGACTCGCTCACTCACCCCACGCATGCACACTCCTGGCCAGAGGCGATGCTGCGCTCCGGCGGGCGGCGGGCGCGTAGAGCGGCGGGCACGCACTACCGCGTTTGGGTCACGCGCCCGCTGCCGCCACTCCCGTGCACCCGCGGGGCACCCGCGCGCACACCGCACACTAACGCACGCACGGCCCCTGCACATGCGGCCTGAGAGCACGGATGCGCACACCCACGCACGTATACAGGCACGCACACACAACACCAGGTGCCCGCCTTCGCGCAACAGGTGGGCCTCCGTGGGCCCTGGGAACCTTTGGAGACCCTATTTCTTATGGGGGGGGCGGTGGGTGAAGGACTCTTCTTCCATCATTTCTAGCACCACATCACCCATTTTTTTTGCCAGGGAAGCTCCACGTTCCTCAAATCTACGTGAATGCATTTTTCCATCCATTCTCATGTGACCAAAACTGGGGTACTGCGATGTCAGAGCCATTCTCCCCTTGGAATAAGTCATATTTGAACCTCCTCCCATGAAGGAGATCACTGATGGAAGGCACCTGGTGTTGCTGATCCGTAGCACGCAGGTGTTCCCAGGCTTTCTCTTGGCATTTCCAGCTTTAGGCAGCCCGCTCCCCCCTTTTCTGCAACTCCGTAGGCCTGAGTGCCTGGAAGAGAAGCACAAGACCTCTGCCTTGCTTTTTATTTTCATCACAGCACCCTGAGAGTATGATCCGCAGGAACCCACGATGGTAGCCTGTGGTGCTTTGCAGTTTAAGAAGCACTTTCCTACTAAGCCTGAGTGAGCCCCAGGCCCGCTCTGGAGAGAAGACCTAATGAGGGGATAGAAGGATCTCACTGGTAACTGACAACCGCACCATCAGTATACAGGCCAGCCCAGGAAGGAACTCTTAGTTACCAATGCAGGGGAACTGGGGAGGGCTTTCTAGTGGCAGTTGCTTTCGGGCTGGCCGTATCCCTGAGTCTTACTTGGGTGGAGGCCTAGGTGGCAGGCAAGGATGATTGGGCTACTCAGAGGCAGGGCTGGGCTGAGGGTCTACCAGTTCTCTGAGTTCCCTCTCTGAGCTGGCTTCCAGGTGGAAGGAGGGCACTTTCACAGCCTTTCGCTATCCTTCACCTCCACACCCCCTTCACCCCCCCAACCCCGGGTTTGCTAATGGCTTTGGGTGTGCAAGGTCAGGATCAAACTGAATTAGGAAGCTCGGGTTCCAGAACTTGGAAGTGTGTGTGTGTGTGTGTGTGTGTATACCTCATTCATAAGCCTCTCTTGGAGTTTTCCCTTACCATGTTTGGTTTCTGGTTTATTTAGATTTTCGTGGTTTATGATCTGCCTTCTCCTCTGAAGTGTAAATACCACTGGACAGCTTTGTATTACTGACCACTGTCCCCGCCACCCACCCTCTATGTGCAAAACAGTGCCTTGGATAGACAGGATGAAGCAAAAGAAAAGCAGGCTACAAAGGTTCTATGGATCTTAAGCAAATCCTCTTCCCTTTTGGGGCCTCAGTTTCCCCAACCTAAAAAAACCCAAACAAACTTGATATGGTTCGATTAGCTCTGAGTTCCTCAAGAGTTGTAGATTTGGAAATGTAGATTCCCAGGCCCTGCCCAGTGCTGGGGGTCAGGTTGGTGGCTGCCAGCATTATAAGCTGCTTCAGCAAGAGCTGTGGGGAGCAGTGTGGGCCAGATTGTCATTAAGGAGGCAAAAACTGGTAGGAGGGTCCCTGGAGCAACAAGGGAGAGACAATCTAGGTAGGAAAGGCTTCTTCAGTAGGGTTTGGCTTTGACATCCAATCTAAATAAGGGCTGAGATTCTCTGGCAGGCGGGTGGGCGGGCACTCAGCGGTCTTGTCAGCTTCTCCCTTTGCAGCCGCAGACAACGCCCCAGGTTCCTTGGACGGATTGTGTCTTCTCCAGGGGAGAGGCATCAGCAGGCGGGGTGTGGAGTGCCTATCTGTGTGTGTGCTGGGGCCTAGGCAAAGGGTGAGGTTTATGCCCCTTTGATCTGCCAGCCGGGCTGGGAGCAGGTAATTCACCTGGCCCCATGCTTGCTGCTTACTAGTAACCTTCTCTCCTTCTGCAGCTGCTGGGGGTGGGGTGGGATGGGTGGGCAGGGAGGAGGCTGCTTGCCTTGGCTGCCACAGCTGGCTGTGCCCCAGCTGCCTCCCCGCCACGCCCTCACCCTAAGAGCCCCAGGCCCGGGATCTGGGGCAGTTTCATCTCAGTGCCAGACCTCCTTGCCAGTCAGTCTCTCAGGGGCAGGAGCAGGGCCACAGGGAGGAAACGGAACTGCTCACCTAAGGGAACTTCTAGAACCTGTGCCCAGGAAAACCAGGCTCTTGGTCTCAAACTCACCCTATCAGGCCAACAAGAGCCCCTGATCCCATGTAGGTCTCTTCCAGGGCATTGCATCCTGGAGCCGGCCGTAGGCTAAAATCCCCCAGTCTCCCCCACTCCTAGCCCAGGAAGGGACTGGCCAGCCCACACGGCCCTCAGCGGAGTGTCATTTCCTGTGGCCCAGCACAGGGGATAATGTGAAGTCACACTCTCCATGGGCAGACAGCTCTCTACCTACCCTTTGTCATCCTCAAAAATGGGCCATTTGCTTCAGCCACATGGGCCACTTGCTTCCCTCTAAGGGTCACAGTGAATAAATGAACCATAACGGTAGTAACAACTCATTGTTGTCCTCGAGTGGATTCCGACTCCTAGTGAAGCTATAGGATAGAGTGGAACTGCCCTATAGGGCTTCCTGTAATCCTTTCTGGTACAGAACTCCAGTCTAACACTTAACCATTCACCGCCAGGACTTCTTGACACAGCGTATTGTTGTTAAGTGTCCTCAAGTCAGTTGGACTCAGCAACCCTGTATAGGGTTTCCAAAGAGTGACTGGTGGGTTTGAACTGCCAACCTTGCAAATAGCAGTCTAGTGCTTATCCTACAGTGCCACACCAGGACTTCTGGCAGCTCATTAAGTGTCTAATATTTGCGGACTGCTCTTCCATCCCCCTTATCACCCCGTGAGGTACTGTTAAGTATAACTCATCGTGACCCTGTATAGAGTTTCCGAGAAACGGAAGCTGAGGCTTTAGATTGTTACAAGATTTACTCAAGGTCACATGATGTTCAACAGCAAAGGAAGGACCACAGTTGACATCGGCCTGTATCTTCAGTCCTTGTACTTTCTCTTCTACAGTGTTTCTGTACCTTGGTACTATTGATACTTGGGCTGGAGGGAGGAATGTGGTCCTTTGCATTGTGGGATATTTAACAGCATCCCTGGTCCCCTTACTAGATGCTAGTAGCAGCCCCCTAGTTGAAGCAACCAGAAGTGTCTCTAGTTGTTGCAGTGTCTCCTGGGAGCCAAGTCACCCTTGGCTGGGAACTGAGAGAAAGAGCCAGGAAAGAGCCCGGAATCACCACAAGTTCCTGAAGGCCAGAAGATGGGGGGGGGGGGGAGTTGGGAGGCCCAGACCCCCCGTGTTGGGCATTCTAGAGGCTCTGCCACTTGCTAGCCCTGGGGCTTTGTAATCACTCACTGCATTTTTCTAAGCTTCAGTTTCCGCATCTAGAAACTGTAGATGAAAATAGTGTCCGGCTCTCGAGGTTAGTAAAGCACGTTGCTCAGTGCTTGGTTTGTAGTCAGTACTTTATAAAGTCAGCTACTTCAAATAAACTGGACTCTTAGGGGGCAGTTTGCTTGTGAAGTGTGGAGAGAATAATCCAAGTAGCCCCAAAAAAGAAGGTCAGTACAGAGCCTATACTGCACGATAGTCTCTGTCTATCCTGGGCTCTTCCTTGCTGGATTTGTTTTCATCTAGACCTGAGCCCTTTGGGAGTCCATCTATGCTTCTACGGTGGCTGCTACAGGCCAGCTGTCCAGTGAGCCCAGGAGAGCATGGCATGAGTGCCAGGCTTCCATTTGAGACTCAGCCTTTGGACTCTTCCCTGTGGGAGTTACCTGAATCAGTTCTTCGTAAACACTGGTTGCTGTTTCTGTGAGTGAGCCAGTGAGACCCAGCCGGCACCCTCCTCCTTAGCTGTCCACCAGGCAGAAATAGAATGGAATCCAGTGTTCTTCAGCTCCCTCCATTGACAGGTGAGCTCCAGACCCAGAGAGGGCAAGGGGCCAGTCTGAGGTCACACAGCAGTCAATACCTTGCATGGAGAGGAATCCTGCCCTGGGTTTGATAGAACTTTCAGGGGGCATTTGGATCTCCCTGGTTTTCACTTGAGCCCAGCTGCCAGCTCTGTGGCTTGTGAGTTGGGTGCACATTTGGAAGTCACTGAAGGTATGTCCCTCTCTTGGAGCTGGAGAAGTGAATTTGCTTAGAGATGGATGGGGGTGAGGAAGGTGAAGGCAGCTGAGTCCAGGACTAGCATGGAGCCTCTGGCTGACACAAAAGGAAGGACCCCCAACTCTCAGCCAAGCTTTTCCTCCCTAAACCATCCATCAACCCTATGACACCAGCAGGCTCCTAAGTTCTATTTTCAGGCAAAGAAAGTGAGGTGCGTGGGTCTCAAGGGACTCACATTAAAAGCAGAGCCCCCGATGGTGCAAATGGTTGATGCACTTGGCTGCTAACCGAAAGGTTGCTAGTTCAAGTCCATCAGAAATGCCTTGTCTGAAAAATCAGCCATTGGAAACCTGATGGGGCACAGTTCTTTGCTACTCAGGGGCTCAAGTGAATCAGAATGGACTCCATGGCAACTGGTTAGTCAACGGGAAACTGAGGCACAGAGTGGTTTCATCCAGTGTGTGAATGAGAGGAAGGCGGGTCTGCCCATGCTTTGTCCAGGGATCTTTTCACCATTGGGGTTGTCCTGAGTGTGCACGCATGCACCCTGATATGTACTTGCATGTGTGAAGACTGATCTCAGCCCTCGGACATGGTTTGTTGGCCCCTTGAGCTGATTGTCAGATTGTGAGTCTCCTGTTTCTCCACTCCTTTTTCCCCAATTTCTCGAGACCTCTGCACGAATCGGGCTGCGAACCTTAAGGTCAGCAGTTCGAAACTACCAGCTGCTCCGCGGGAGAAAGATGAGGCTTTCTACTCCCGTAAGGATTTACACCTTCGGAAACCCTGTACAGGGTCGCTATGGGTCGGAACCGACTCGAAGGCACTTAACAACAACAACAACTGCACGACTCATGTCCAGGTCTATGGGGGATGTGGCTGTGACCTTCCTATCAGACTCTGCTTCACTGTAGGATCTGCAGCTTCCCTAGAGGAAGCCCAGCTCCGAGTGGCGCTTGTTACAGCTCTTACTAAGTTTCAAGTGTTTCTGGTAAGAGGCCAGAGGGGCTCTAAAAATAGGGTTTGGCTGGGCCTGGGCATGGGTACACTTTCAGGTTTCCCGGACGTGTCTGAGGATTCCCTTCTCTCTGTGTGTGCAAGAGACTAAGTTGATCTCGTGTATGCATGGCCTCCCAAGACCATCAACCACAAGCATTTATTAAGCACCGGGCTGCTAACCTCAAAGTCAGCAGTTCGAAACTACCAGCTGTTCCACGGGGGACAGATGAAGCTTTCTGCTCCCGTAAAGATATCTAGCCTTGGAAACCCTGTACAGGGTCGCTATGAGTCGGAACCTACTCCACGGCACATAACCACCACCACCACCACTGGACCCAGACCCTGCAAAAGGGCTTGAGTGGGCAGACAGCATCAGCTGTTTATCAGCTACATAAGACCTTGGAAAAATGGCATTACCTCCTTCTCAGCTTCTGGTTTCTCATCTGTAAACTGGAGCTAAGATCTCCCTAGGTAAATGTCAGCTGTTATTAGCTGTCAGGTGCAGAGAGAGAAACCAAGAGAAAACAGACGGTGGTGGTCCTCTGGGAACCTGCAGTATGACAGGGAGATGATGTACAAAATCAAGTTGAACTTAAAGCACGTGGGGTCCTGCTTGGAGGAAGGGGGAGTGCAGCATCTGAACTGGGTCCTAACAGCCACCTTTGTGTTCCCAGTTCTCACGCCTCCGTCTTGACCCATCTTCATTCTGGCTGTCCATTTGCCTGTGTCCTAGGGTCACTGGGGGACAGAAGGCTGGGAGTGTGTGAAGGTGGATAGGTGGAGAAGCCCATGGCTGAGAACCCCATTCCTGGCTAACTTGGTTCCCTATGTCTGCTTGCAGGGGGACCCCATTCCGGAGGAGCTCTATGAAATGCTAAGTGACCACTCCATACGCTCCTTTGATGACCTCCAGCGTCTGCTGCATGGAGACTCCGGAGGTAAACTGAGTCTTGTCTGAGGGCCCACAAGCATCCCCCACTTCCTTGACAGCCAGAGAGTTGGAGGCCCCTCCAGCCCATGAGGGCCTGGCCACACTTAGACAGGGCAGGGCCTAGTAGGCAGGCAGGTTGGTACCTGGGGCATGGAGTGTGGAAGGAGAAGCACCCACATGTGGTTCTGGCTGGGTGCAGAGGGTGGAGCACGGGAGGAGGGTAGGCAGGGAGAAGGTGCCCAGGGCATCGACTGAGTATGTATCCAGGTGTGGACCCAGCCGGCAAGGGTGGAGCTGGAAGAACCCTCCCCCTGTCCTCCTGGCTGAGGGCCAGGTCTTTGAGGTCTCCCGGGGACACCTGGCTGGGACCAGCGGGCAGCCTTGCTCATGCCCAAGAGCGAGCTTCGGCAGTGGGCACGTGCTTGATGGCACACAAGTGGCAGGGCTGACGGACCGGGTCAGGAATGTATTTATAAACGCTATCTTCAGAGCAAATTCCATTCTATTCTAACCTCTGGCCTATTCCCTCGAGCCCTGCTCGGCACCCCCCCTGCACCCCTTCCCTCTGGGGTTTTGTGTCTTTGTCACTTTGTAATCCTTGCCCAGACGCTATCTACGGGGGACAGCATTTCCTGTCTTTGTTTCTCTCCCTGTTGGGCCCCTGGCTCCCTCTCAAAAGCATTCCCTGGCCCTTTCAAACCCGCCTGTGCTGGGGGGTCGTGAGGCTAGCAGGAGGGGGCCCTCTCTGGGCCCACCTATTGTTCACGAGGCCCCCCCACCCGATGTCTCCCACACCCCCACCCCATGCCCGACTGACCAGCTCTGACCACACAATGGGGCAACTTCCAAATTTAGCCTGGCTGCCATTTCTTTCCAAGGCTTTGGCCTCCACCCTCCAGCAGCCCCTTCACTGCCCGGGTGGGGGTCGGGATCCGCCCGAGGTTTTCAATAGCAGGCCTGTTTTGAGGCAACCATGTGGCTATTTTTTTCTAATCGACTTAACCTTTCCACAAAGCACATCTTTTCCCCATCTCCTCCCTACCAGGGACATTCCAGAGATGACCGGGAGAGAGGAAGGGAACCAGAGGGACAGACAGACAAGTGACGTGGGAGCATGCTCGTTAGGTTAGCCGGAAACACACCAGTCACCAGGCGGTCTCCTCATCAAGGATCCCCTGGGACAGCAGACAGGCTGGCCACAGTGAACCAGAGCCCTAGTCATTTCCATAAGGGAGGATAGCAAGGGGTTTGCACCCCAACACCCCTTTGTTTATTTACTGGCTCTGTACCCACCAGAGAGATCTGCCCATGAAGTCAATATCAAATTCCAAGGCCTCCTCCCCAACTTTATACCTCCTGGCAGCTAGTGCAGGGCCAAACTCTCTAGAGAGGGCCAGGTCTCCGAGGAGCCCTGGCAGTGCTGACCCAGCCCAGGCCTGATTTTAGGATCAATGGGCAGCTTGGGTTAGGCGTGGGGCAAAGGTTAGAAAGGGGGAGAGACGGAAACAGACACAGGCAAGATGGGGAGATAGAGTCCAAGGCCTAAAGGCGAATGCCCTCAGGGCTCCCCTGGGACATCTTTTCTTTAGCTCCCATCTACCAAGTGGCTAGCCCCTTCCCACCCTCTCTTCCCTCCAGCAGGCCATTGTCCGGCTCCAAAGGGGCTGTGGACAGGGCAGGCTTGGTCCCCCTGGGGATTCTGGGAATTTCTCTATTCAGCACTTCCTGTGGGAAAGCTGGGTGGAGGGGGCATGGAGCCTGGCCTTGGGCTTGCTGGGTCTCGCCCCACCCTGCGGACTGAGAAGAGTTTCCTTACAGTAGCAAAAGGGGAAGACTTATTTTTAACTCCATTGATATGGGTTCTAGCCAAAAACATGGCTGAAGAGCCCAGAGGAGGGCTTGGGATGTAGTCAGGGCTTTACAGCCCCACAGCCTCATGGGTGCCATGGGGGCCTGGAGACCTGTAGGAGGCTAGGTGGGTGTGCTGTTTGCTGGAGTGGGGTACCTGTGAAGAGTTTGAGATATACTTCTCCTGCCCCTCAGGACCCCCGCCCCGAGGCTGGGTCAGCCAGTGGTTAATCTTGCCTTTTTCTTGCAGATGAAGATGGGGCCGAGTTGGACTTGAATTTGACCCGATCCCATGCTGGAGTCGAGCTGGAGAACCTATCCCGTGGGAGAAGGAGTCTGGGTAAGACTTAGAGTAGGAACGGTGATCCCTGCCAGAGTGGGAGAAGGAGGATGGGGTACTTGGGGATCATCTTGAAACCCCTTCCCACAGGCTTAGTTGATTGCGTGCCTTTCTCACCCTGTACTGAGGAACTGAGTTATTGCTCTCCACCCCCCACCCCCCAACACTACCTGTGTTTCCTCAATATTGTGCTTTTAACTCCTTTGTTCCTCAGCCCAACCCTGGATGTGGGTATTATTAACCCCATTTAAAGAGTTGGGAATTGAGGCCCAGAGAGTGGAAGGAACTAGCTTAGGGCTCCATAGCTAGGAATTGGGTGGCTGGGATACCAACCAGCTCGTCTTCCTTGAACCCAGTGCTGTACCTGGTGGACTGCGTGTCTCTGCTCATGGCTGAGGGCTGTGTGACCTGTGATGTAGGCATAGGGCAAAGGCCAGGACCACCTCTAGCCCCTTAGCAGAGAGAGCAGAAGCAGAAAGGTGTGCCACCAGGTGCCAGGGAGGCCTTCGTGGGCCAGGCGAGGGCTCACCCCAAGTCTCATCTGTATACCTGCGGTCCTCCAAACACTGTAGACTGAGTGGGCTGGGGGAGCCCCAGCCCTGGTCCATGAAGGTGGACAGCTGATTTAGTTTTCAGAGCCTCGGTTTCTCCATATGTGAAAGATAACAGCCACCCGGACATTGAGTGAGTACTCTTGTAGTCATTGTATTTGGTAGATGAGGAATTGAGGCTTTAAAAGAAGCACCAATGTAAACATAAATCACAGTGTAAGACAGCAGGGTTCAGAGAGTGATTATAAGGGGGTACACAGTGAAGGACCACGTGGAGGGTAAACCCAGCTCTTAAACCACAGAATCCAACGGTTGTGGCTTAGTGGAAGGGAATGAATTTTTTTTCTGCATCTCACTATTGTAGTGACAAAACAAAACAAATACTACCTCAATAGTTTCAACATGTACAATTCAGCGACATTAATTACATTCTTCAAGTTGTGCAAATCTTGCTGTCTTCCTTTTCCAAAATATCCTACCACCATGAACATCAACTCAATGCCTCATAAGCAAAAGCTTTCCCTTTCTCCCTGGTGCCACAGAATAAGCACTCGACCGCAAGGTTGGTGGTTCAGACTCGGAGACACTATGAGATGCTGTGAATCGGAACCGACTCGATAACACACAACAACAACAGCCCCCTTTGGTTTCTGTATATTTGTTTATCTCATATTAGTGAGATCTATGGTATTTTTCCCTTTGCGGCTGACTTAGACTCAGCACAATGGAGAAATGAACACTGATTGAACATTTACACTCTCTGAATGATCTCTCATGACATCTTGCATGTAGAGCATGTCATTCCTACTTTGCAGATGGGGAAACTGAGGTTTTTTTAGAGCAGCCTAGGAGTTCTGGTATGGCGCTGTGGGCTAATGCGCCAGGCTGCAAAGCCATTTGAACTGCAAGGTCGGCGTTTCAAGCTCACCAGCTGCTCCTTGGAAACCCTTATACAGGGTCGCTATGGGTCAGAACTGACTCCACAGCACTTAACAACTACCCATGTCCCAGAGTCCTGGTGTGGCGTTGTTGGTTAATGCACTGGACTGCAAAGTCAGTTTGAACCGCAAGGCTGGCGGTTCAAGCTCACCAGCAGAAACCCTGTACTGGGTTGCTATGGGGCGGAACCAACTCAACTGCACTTAACAACAACAACAACCCATGTCCCAGATTGAGAACAGCCCAGCCAGGACTCAAAATCTTATGGGGCAGCTCCAGAGCCTGGGCTCCTAACAATCCTCAGGGTCTCCCATCTTCCTGCCACATAGGGGCTCTGGGCAGGCCTGCCTTCCTGACAGAAATCCCTCTTCTCCACAGGAACCGTCACTGTTGCCGAACCAGCCATGATCGCTGAGTGCAAGACACGGACGGAGGTGTTTGAGATCTCCCGGCACCTCATCGACCGCTCCAATGCCAACTTCCTAGTGTGGCCGCCCTGCGTGGAGGTGCAGCGTTGCTCGGGTTGCTGCAACAACCGCAAAGTGCAGTGCCGTCCCACCCAAGTACAGCTGCGGCACGTCCAGGTGCGTGGGCCCTGCAGCCCTCCAGGAGACTGTGGCATGTGTAACTGACCAGATTTCCATGGGGTAGGGGTGAGGACACTAAAAATGCTTCTGGCATGTTCCTGTGTTCTGTCCCCACAGGGACACCTGGGAAAATAACCTGGGCAGGTGTGCTGAGGCCTATTGGGCTATCCAGGTCTCCGTAACCAAAACTCACAGACAGTTTTCCTCCAGGAATGGCTGTGTGGGGGACAAGAAGGATACCATTTCTCCTTTAGAGGATAAAAGCTTAGTGCAAACATTTCTTTGAAACTCAGTGTTCCAAGTACCAAAGTCTTCACCTATTCGGGGCTCTAGTTCTGTCCCGGTCCACAGAGGGAAAGGCTCAGTGAGGTGTCTGTGTGTCCCTTACACCTGTTCCCACACTTTACAAGCTAAGTCTTTCACCAGGAGGGTGCAGAGAGACAGCAGAGATGAAGCAGCTCCCTTCCAAATGATCACAACACTGCAGCCCCGTCTTTTCCAGAGGGCTTACACTTGGACTAAAGGGGAATTTTAGGGAGCTCCCCAGCCTCCTGCTGGGCAGGGCGGAGTGTGTGTGTGTGGGGCAGAGATGCTTCACCCTGCCTTTGGTGAAGGCTCTGCTACTTTATCATGCGCCTCCCCTGGTCAGCTCCAGGCCTTTCCTGCGGGCCATGTACTCAAAGCCACCGTGGCCGGGGCCCCAAACCTGTGATAATGAGGTTACTCTTCCCTACCCCAGCTGTCATGGTCTCTACCAGCTCCATGTACAGCCACCTGACCCCTGACCTCAGGATAAAGCCTGCCCCCACTTCCTTCCAGACAACCATCTCCACAGTAGCCCCTAACCTTGGCTGGTGCTTCAGGAATGAGGATACCCCAGGCCGCGTGCTTACCCGGAAATGCCTTCCTCCCTATCCCGGGGGGCAGCGAGGAGGGCTGTGGCCAAGCAGGAGGCCAGGTTGGGAGGGTTGTTTTGATGGAAAAGTTAAGAGAAGGGCAGAGGGCAAGGTCATGCTATTGTTTGGGCCAAAGTGTTTGTCCTGCATGCGGTTCTCAGGACTTTCGAGGAAAGATTGAACAGGGGCCACTGGGGCTGGACAGACGAGAGGATGGCTTCTGTGGCCCGTGCGCCCTCTACAGAGGTGGTTTCCTTCTCCAGGTGAGAAAGATTGAGATCGTGCGGAAGAAGCCGACCTTCAAGAAGGTCACAGTGACCCTGGAAGACCACCTGGCGTGCAAGTGTGAGACCGTGGTGATGACTGTGGCCAAGCCCATCACCCGGAACCCAGGGAGTTCCCAGGAGCCGCAGCGAGGTAATCACTGTCCTGGGCTGCCTGTGTCCCTCTTCTTCACGGCAGGCCGTGAAGTCCATCACCCAGATGACCAGATCAATCCATCGCCCTAGTTTCAGTTCATCTGAGACTTTCCCTCCTGGATTCCTTCCCAGCCTGTAGGACCCGAAGGAAACCAGTCCTCCTCACCTATGCTACCCCCTACCAAGCCAGGCTGACCACCTTGAGTGGTCAGAACAAGCATCTGCCTCAGGACCTTGGCATGTGCCCTTCCCTCTGTGAGCCCATTGCTCCCAGCTCTCCACAAGCCTAGAGGTGTGGTGAGCACCCCATCCAGAGAGGCAATCCCCACCCCAGTCTGAGCAGGATGAGCAAGTATCTGCAACTTGCACATTCTCTTCCGAAACTGGAAACTTTGTGCTGGTGCTGAGCAATCATTCTACAGTAAAACCTGTGTGAGGCGCACACCTGCCACATAGGGAAAAAGTGCAAATAGGGTATTTTCTACTAAAATGAGTGCTAGAAAGGGGTAAGGCAGGAAACTCACAAGACCTGGAAAAACAAATCAGTCCCACTGAGTTCTGGCTCTCACAGGTTTCACTGGGACCCCTGTGGTCGTGAGGGGAGAACTGGGACTCGTGGGGAAAGCCACTGGAGAGAGATTTCAACTTCATATATGGAAAAGCTAGTGAGTAGTCAGGATTCCAAGATGGAATTGGCTGCTTTCTAAGGTCGTGACCCTGTTACTGGAGGTGTGCGAGTAAAGCCTGGCCAACTATTGCTTACGGATGTTCTACTTTGGTCCTCAGGTTTATGAATTCAGTCTCAGGGATATAGCTTGACTTAAACAGGGAGGAAGAGGCCTATACAACTGCTCTTACCCAACTGCCTGCCTCATTTTATAACGAAGGTACCTGAGGCCCAGAAAGGCTGGAGTTCTTGCCCAGGGTTACATGGAAGTCCTAGGCATGGGGTGACTAGAATCCAGGTGTTCTGAAGTTCAGTTTCTTGACTCTTCTCTCACTCCATAGCTAGCACTGGCTCCCACTTGCCTTGTCTTTCTTTTAAATCACTTTTTAAGTTTTAAAACTAGAATGAATGAGAGAACTGGCCTTACATCTCAGCCCTTCCATTGCTACAAACAGGCTTGTTGGGGAACAGAGAGCTTAGGTGACTGAATGGAGCTTGCACCGTGGCAAAGTCTAGCCTAGAACCTAGGTCTTGTTGTTAAAGTGCCAGTGAGTCAGTTCCGACGCATAGCGACCCTGTATAGGGTTTCCGAGGAGCAGCAGGTGAGCTTAAACCGCCGACCTTACGGTTCAAACGGCTTTGCACACAGCACCACACAAATGTTTGCAGTGAGCATTAATGAAAATGCTTCAATAAGAATGAAAAAGTCACTGCGTGCTAGCTTTGCTTTTCATAACTTTCTGTTGTCAGGGCATTCTGTTTCATTTTTATCTCCTATTAGCAAGCCCCCTGGATTCAGGCAGGGCTGTTCTGAGCCTCTTTGCCTTTTTCTCAGAGTGGAACTCAGGCACGGGTGCTAATCATGTGACACTTCTAGCCAGTTGTGTTGTGAATCTTTTACAGAGCGTTAGCATGGAGAATTAGTTATCTACTGAGGAGAAATTATGTTCTTTTTTCTGTTTAGGATAGGACTATCTTGTGTACAAGGAGCATTGGTAGCGTAGTGGTTACAAATTGGGCTGCGAACCTCAAGGTCAGCAGTTCGAAACTACCAGCTCTTCCGCGGGAGAAAGATGAGGCTTTCTGCTCCCGTAAAGAATTACAGCCTTGGAAACCCTGTACAGGGTCACTATGAGTTGGAACCGACTCCACGGCACATAGTAACAACTTACAACAATCTTGTGTACATTTGATTCTTGTAATTTTTTAAAAGTAATTGCTTGGGCAAGTCAGTGATCATTAGATAGGATGGAAATTCTTCCGCAGCTATCTCAGGAGTTGGGCCCATTGGAAGAATCTTGTGGCGATCACCAGGGGACCTGGTGGAGGCTAGGTGGTGTGGTCCACCTGGGTGTGGTCAGGGTCAATCAGCCTGCCTTTACAGCTCAACTGTCACTCATTGGCTCAATGACCTTGAGTGTGTTTGAGTTTTGTCCTGCTGGTGGCCTGGACTCTAGCATGCAAACGTCTGGGCCCTTCAGTAGCCCTCCCTGGTGTCCTCCTCATAGGGGAATCTGAGGCCTCTGAGTCCCTGAACTGTTGAAAATCAGGCCCATTTGCAGAGATGAAATAACTTGTCAAGGGAGGCCATGTCTGAGAGCCAGAGGGCCGAGTGGGCTGGAGTGAGCCTTAAAAGCTCCCAGGCAGAGCTGGGTAGGGGCAACTTCAACAGCTCAGGAGGGAGAAGAGAGCAAGCCCTAACCTTGACTGAGCCTCACTGGCCTCTGTCATTTATACCAGAGCAGCTGAAATGATAGACTCTGGAGGCAGATCCCTGGGCTCAAAGCCTAGTCTCTCTGCCTCAGTTTCCTCATCTGTCAGATGTAGATCATAGTGCTCCTGTGAGGATGAAGGAGCTTAGAGCAGCACCAGGGGTATGGTGTTGGTGGTGGTAAGTGCTGTCCAGTTGGTTGCGACTCATAGAGACCCTGTATGGGGTTTCCAAGGAGAGGTTAGTGAGCTTGAACCGCCGATCTTGCAGTTCGAACTGACTTTACAATCTAGCGCATTAACCCACAGTGCTACCCAACAAATGACTGAAACTCTGTCTGTTTCCACATCTTTAAGACAGAGAACAGCAGTACCCTGGCCTCCTTGAGATCTTGAGATACTACAAGGGGGGGTGGGGCTTCCAAAAGTTCACGGAAAAATCCAGTTATCTTTCAATTTCACTTTTCCACAAGCTTTTTGAAACCCCTTCATATGTGAAAAGCAGTTACCGCCCCTAAGGTATGGTAAGGCTTTGTCTTAAAGATGTGGAAACAGACACACAGAGTTTCAGTCATTTGTTCCAAAACATACAACTAGTAAGTGGGGAGGCAAGCTTTGAACCCAGGCAGTCTGATACACAGCCCACTCTTGGTATCACCGCATGGGGTGGGGAGGGCAGGTAGAAGGCAGGCATAGCCTGTGCGGAAAAGCCCAGCTCCATGGTGGGGAGTATGGCTCACGCCCAAAGTCCAGCCACCCTCCCATGATGGGACCGGAAGATGCTGAGAGACTGGTGGTAGGAAATAAGAAACCAGTGACTCATAGCAGCTGCCATTTGTTGGTAATTTCTTACTTGGAGTTTTAGTGGCTGAAAACAACCACCACCTTGTCATATCTCATGGGTCTGTGGGTTAACTGGCATCAGCAGGCCAGTTTTATTGTTCTCTGGAGGTTGCAGATGCCCGCTGGGCCTGGGGTCATCTGGAAGCTTCTCTGGGATGCTGGATGTCTTACCACTGAGCCCCAGCCTCTCCTCTCCCACTGAGGATCCTCCAGGCAACACAGGCCTCTCTCCAAAGCACAGATGTGGGAGCTGCTAGGCCTTCTGGAATTGGTACATCGTGTCTTTTATTGCCTGTTGTTGTTGTTAGGTGCTGCTGAGCTAATTCCATAACACCCCGCCTCTGTGATGGGTAGCACTATCCCCGAGGCTTTTTTCAATCCCAGTCTAGATTCCAACATTATTCTTTAGAGATAGAAAAAGTAATCACTAACTTTATATAAAAGGAAAGAGACCCTGGATAAGCAAACATTACTAAATAAGAACAAAGAGGCCCCTCACTTCCCAATATCAAAATCTGTCACACAGCCATAGTAATTAAAACACTTTTCTTGACTGTAATCTTTATGGAAGCAGGTTGCCAGGTCTTTCTTCCTTGGAGCTGTTGGGTGGGCTTAAACTAGCAACCTTTTGGTTAACAGCTATGTGCTTAATTACTGTGCCACTAGGGATCATTTTTTACTTGTTGTTAAGTGCCGTTGAGTTGGTTCCAACTCATAGCGACTTGGTATAAAGTTCCAACCAGCCTTATGGTCCAGTGCATTACCCTACAGTGTGATAACAGCACACCTCTACCCAGATTCAAGAAGTAAAGAAATAAACTTCATCTCTCAGTGGAGTAATGGTTAAGAGTTTGAGGCCCTATTTAATTTTTTCCCAGCACTCTGTGCCAGGTGCTGTCTAGAGAATTGTAAGCTTATTGTCACTCACCTTTCCCTGCCATATTGCCCATGTTGCATGGATGGGGAAACTGGGACACAGAGAGGGTCGGTGACTGTCCTCAAGACACACAGCTGGTATTTGAGCCCAAAAAGTCTCTTGCCCTTCCCTCAGCCTAGAGGATCTGGAGTAGTCCATGGCAGACCATGGTCTAGAGGGATGGGCTTCCAGTGGTCATCTGTATGGTAACAAGATCTTTCTTTCTCTCAAGCAGCCAGGACACCCCAAACTCGGACGATCATCCGGACAGTGAGAGTCCGCCGGCCCCCCAAGGGGAAGCACCGGAAGTTTAAGCACACACATGACAAGACGGCACTGAAGGAGACCCTTGGAGCTTAGGGCCATCTGCAGGAGAGTGCGGGCAGGTGAGGGCCAGGCGGGGAAACAGGCCCAGTACCCTGAGCTTCCTTCTTCTCCACCTGTGGCTCCCACTGTGGATGGGGCTCGGGGAGACATTATTACAACTCAGGGTCTCAGCCTTGTGGCCTGTTGAGGTCTTCTACTAGATGAGACGGGTAGAGGGCTTTGGAGTTCCCAGCCTAGATGTACCCCAGTGTGCTCTAGGAGTCTCACGGCCTCCTCAGCAGCTCCAGCCCCGAGGATAACTGATCTGTGTCCCTCTGCTTGTTTCCAGGGTTATTTAATATGGTATTTGCTGTATTGCCCCCATGGGGTCCTTGGAGTGATAATATTGTTCCCCTCGTCCGTCTGTCTCGATGCCTGATTCGGACGGCCAATGGTGCTTTTCCCACCCTCTATGCGCTCATCCACCCTCCACCAGCGGGTCTCCCCCCAGCGGCTTCCGGCACCTCACCCAGCAGCTTGAGGAAGACACAAATGCCTTCTGCTCCATCTATCTGCGTCTCCCTCCTGCTCTCAAGGATCTGGGATACAAAGTGTGTGAGAGAGATGAAGTCACTGTGAGAGAAAGGGGATTCTCTCCACCCCCAGCCCGACTGCAGACTGGCCCAGGAGCCCTACATGACCCAGGACCTCAGCGTGGCCTGCCTGGTCTCTGAAGCGCTGGCCAGCTCTCATGGAGACACCCACCCCCAGGCAAACTGGGGTGCTTCCTAAGGCTCTGGCCACTTGGGGGAGCTCAGACTGGAGAGAACCCCCGTGCAGTGCCCAGACCCTGTCACCACCTCTCCCTGGCTACCCCCGCCACCCCCCAACCCCCACTCACAATGGCTTCTTTTCATTTGTTACATAACAAAATTTCCAAGATGTGGACTCCTCAAGGCGGGGAAGCTGGAGCACCAGGCACCAAGGGCCCTGTCAGGCGGGTCAGATATGAGGCTTACTCTTGGGGTAGATAGACCTGGTGACCTGGGCACCCCCTGTCGGCGCCCCGCCCGGTCCATCATCCATCTCTTCTCCTGTCTCCTTTCATCTTTCTACCTCCACCTGGCACCTCCCGCTGGTTCTGACCATTTAGTCGGCTCCACCAAGGAGCTCGTGGACCCTTTGTTGAGACTTCAAATGACCCCAGTGGCTGCTTCCTAGGGCAGCAGGTGGCCTGTTCTTGCAGCCACGGCAAGTTGTGTAGGGTGTGTACTGGACAAGGGCCCCGTGCACCCAGAGGTGCTGACTGCTCTGTTGATGCGGATTGTTTTCTGGCAGATGGAAGTAAGGTGTATTGAGGTGGGGAGGGCCCTGTGGCCTGGTGGGGGCCCTGCCCCAGCTGTGACTTCAAGTGGTCCCACAGGAGTGGGAATGGGGAATGAACACTCCATTTCCCCAAATCCTCTGCTCTAGCAGCCCCCTTCCAGGCAGGGGTGGGAAACCCAAGAGAAAGCCTCCAAGGGAAGGGGGTATCTCCTCACCCCCAGCCCGTGCACTCTTATCTTAGACCTTTCCAGCCTCACCCCTGGGGCTCCTCCTAGGAAGTAGTTCCTGGGCTGGGGGTGGAGGGAAAGGGTCCTCTGGGAGAGGGGTTCTGAGCTCTGCCTCCTTATGCTCCTTCCCCTGCACTTTCTTCCCTCCTCCTCTTCACAGTCTGCTTCCTTCAGTTTGTAAAGTCGGTGATTATATTTTTGGGGGCTTTCCTTTTATTTTTTAAATGTAAAATTTATTTATATTCCGTATTTAAAGTTGTAAAAAAAAAAAAAATAGCCACAAAACCAAACCAAATGAATCCGCTGGAGTTCTGTTTGTTGGCGTCGTGTATGACAAAGAACCTTCCCACACTGGAGGCGGCATTTGCCAAGAGCCTGTACCTCTTCCTCCTGCACTGGGAGGCTCTGGCCGAATTATACACATTCCTGCTCACACATGTGAGCACACAGCTTGTGCACACGTGTTCACATGTTTGTGCTCGCATGCACCTGTCCGCAGGTGTCACACTCTCACCCATAGATGTGCAAACATGCACACAGGCCAACGGTTCTGAGGGGTAAGAGCCATTCACTGTCTCCTGACCCACAAACCTGGTGTCACAGCTGGGTACCCGTCCCCAGACATGGCCAGAGGTGGATTTCTCTAGCCTGATGGTCTCCACAGGGAAGTGGAGCCCCAGCATCATGGGGTGAGACTGGCAGTGGAGAGGGAGGTGGATGGTTTCTCAGAGGAGCTGTGGGCTTTAGAAGGCATAGCTGCCAGCTCTGGGGTTGGCTTAACCTACAGCCAGCTGTGTGACAGTGAGCGAGGCAGACCCCCTCTATGGCCAGAGCCTTCTCTGTTTTGTGACAAGATGAGCAGGAGGCTTCTGGACTCTCCTTCACCTCCGGGGTGTTGTACTTTCCTTCACACACAAAGAATTTTGTGCTGTCCTATGGACTCCTAGAAGTCCTGGTGTGGTGCTGTGGGCTAATGTGTCAGACTGTCAAGTCATTTGAACTGTAAGGTCGGTAGTTCAAGCTTACCAGCTGCTCCTTAGAAACCCAATACAGGGTCACTATGCGTCGGAATCGACTTGATGGCACTTAACAACAACAATGGACTCCTAAGGAGTTTTGGTAGCATAGTGATTATGAATTGGGCTGCTAATCTCACAGTCAACAGTTCAAAACTACTAGCTGTTCCATGGGAGAAAGATGCGGCTTTCTGTTCCCATAAAGATTTATAGCCTCGGAAACCCTATGTGGAACCGACTCCACAGCACATAACAACACCAACAATGTGACTGTTAGTGTGGCACTCTAGGATCAACACTGTACTGCAAACCATAAGGTCAGCAGTTCAAACCCACCAGCTATTCCTCGGAAACCCTATACAGGCTTGCTATGAGTCGGAATTGACTCAACGGCACTTCACAACAGTATAAAAGATGCTACATTTACTTGGGTCCCACCTGTAGATGGACTGGGATTGATGGGAGAAGCCCAGGAAACAGGATTTGATTCATCCTAAAGATGATCTAAAACGAAAACCATTTTGCCACTGGAAGTAGTGAGCAGTGTGTTCTGGAAGTATATAAGGGAAAGCAGGATGAAAACTTCCTGAAGTGAGCCTAAATAATATTTGGGTTCTCCATTGATTGATACTAATTGTTTCTGTCACTCACCTTCTTGGGCCTCTACCATGTGTCTCCCTGCTGTGAGATTTGACAAAAATTTGATTTAAATTCATTATGGAATTTCTGGCCCTGCACTTGAGGAAGTAGAGTCCACCCATGGTGGTGGTGGTAAGGGGTGCAAACCAAAAGAAGTTACTGGAAAATCCAGCTCTTTGTGCCCAACCGTGTTTGGCAGAACACTCCTCTTTCTCCTGAATGCCTAATGCCCAGTTGCGAGAGTCCCAGAGAAGACTGGCTGGGAAAAAGAGGGAACATCTCTACTTCGCTGTTGCAGTTAAGTGCTATCCAGTTGGTTCTGACTCATAGTGGCCCTGTGTAGGGATTCTGACCTTGCAGTTAACGGTGACCATTAGAGGATGGCTGAGGACACAGTATATATGACATGTCTGCAGCTTCCAATAGCTAGGCTGTTCAACAAATGACTGCAGGGGACTTCCTGGGGAAACCAGGTGCCCATATTCCCCCCTTCTCTCAGTATCATCTTAGACAGCCACAGTGCTGAACCTGTGGGCCTTCCAGGGGCCTGGTGGACTCTCTTTGGGTCTTTGTTGGTGGTGTTGTAATGTGCCGTGGAGTCAGTTCCAACTCATGGTGACCCTGCACAGGGTTTCCAACCAAGGTTGTAAATCTTTATAGGAGCAGAAAAAACCTCATCTTTTTCTTATGGAACAGCTGGTAGTTTCGAACTGCTGACCCTGAGGTTAGCAGCCTGATTTGTAACCACTGCGCTACCAGAATCACCTAAAGTTGTATCTCCAAGAAGTTTCTCTTCTGGGGAAAAGACACCTCCTTCTTGGGTGTTTATCTTTCTTCATCGTGTAATATAGACGTGATGTCTGGTGTTCAGGCAGCCATCTTGAACCATGAAGTGAAAGTCAAATCCTGAGGCTGAATGGAGAAGGATGGACAAGACTTTGGAGCTGCCATACTAGCCATGACTGCCTTGCTCAGGATTTTAATTTTTTTGTCAGTTTTTAAAAAATATTTTATGTTTGCTGTTGTTGAGAATATACACAACAGAAAAATACACCAGTTCAAGTGACTACGTGGACAATTTAGGGACACTGATTACATTCTTCAAGTTGTGCTACACTTCTCACCTCTTTTTCTGAGCCGTTCCTCTCCTTTTAACATAAACTCACCGCCCCTTGGGTTTCTCTCTATGCTTTCCAGTTGCCACTTTGTTTTCCATAGAGACAGAATTTACACAACACTCAAGTCAGGCTTTCTTTGCTAGTTAACTTGAACTGGTGTGGTGCTGTGGGCTAATGCATCAGACTGCAAAGTCATTTGAACCACAAGGTTGGTGGTTCAAGCTTACTAGCTGCTCCTTGGAAACCCTATACAGGGGTCACTATGGGTCAGAATCTACTTGACGGCACTTAACAACAACAACAATCCTTGGTTTGTAGATGACTTCAGGGAATTTTTTTTTTTTAATTTAAGGTTTAAACATGATCTCCGAGCAATAGTTTCAGGAGTTCATCCAACCTTCAGCCCTGGTGGTGTGGAGGGTTAAGCATTGGGCTAGTAACCACAAGGTCAAGGTTCAAACCCACCAGCTGCTCTTTGGAAACCCTAGGGAGTAGCTCTATTCTGTCCGGTAGGGTCACTATGAGAAGTTGAGAAGTGACTTGAAGGCTGGGAGTTTGCCGTGGTTTTGGTATCCAACCTCTGTGGTTCCAGAACATCTGGAGTCTGGGAGATTTTGAAATTCTGTTCTGCATTTTCTCACCTTTTGATCAGGATTTTTCTACCAGACTCTTTACTCAAAATGTTCAGTCCTGGTAGCTGGGCACCATGCAGCACTTCTGGTCTCTTGGCTTGGAGGCAGTTAGCCACACATTCCATTTCCCCCTCCTATTCCTGATGCTCCTTTCTTTTCCCTCTGCTGTTCCAGGAGAATAGAGACCAATTGTTGGGCTTTGGGTGGCTGCTCAGGATTTTTTATGTGAGAAAGGAATACATTTCTTTCTGTTTGCATTTTTGATCTTGGGCAACTGAACATAATCCTATTAGATAACCCAAGTTACTTTGAGGTTACTTTATGCCCTTGGGTATTTCTCTTCAATTTATGAACTCCTCCCCGCTAGCCCAACATCAATCTCCTATCTCATATTCCACTCTCAAACCTTCTCTGACTGTTCCCGCCCTCAGCCCCCAGGCCTTCCAGCCCACCAGCCTCAAGAAG